CTGATACTATCTTTCCTGCTGCACATTTCGACTCCAAGAGCTCCAACGTCGCACTGAACCTACCCGCCGCTGCCGACAGGCCCCATAGTCTGAAATCAGGTCCTATCATTTTCATTGGCATCGCTCTCCCGTCTGTGTCACCTCCGGGGGCCGCCTCCCGAAATCGGTCCCACTAAAACCGAGCACGGAGGCATGCAACGCCAAGTTACATTCCGAGGTCACATCAATGTGCTCCACCTTCACAGGGTTCCAAGAAGTAGTGGGAGGATCCGCTTTGGCACAGGGTGCAGACGGCGCCATTTTGGGTAGACCAGAGGCCGGCCTCCGGAGTTGCATACTGGCAGCAGCAACTACTTTGGTAGTGAGTTCCTATGGGGATTCCGGCGAAGCTGGAGGTCCTCATGCATAGCGTGAGGACGTCCAGCGTCATTTAAAACACTTTTCATGTTCTAAGAAGGCGGAAGTCCCTCTAGCAGCTGTCTGACAGACAGCCACTAGGGGAGGACTTAACCCTGCAAGGTCATTATTGCAGTTTATAAAAACTGCAATAATTACACTTGCAGGGTTAAGGGTGATGGGAGTTGGCACCCAGACCATTCCAATGGGCAGAAGTGGTCTGGATGCCTGGAGTGTCCCTTTAATAAACTGCACGGGAGTTTCTGATATCCGTATTTGTTTACTTGCATAATATAGTTTTTTTTTTTTTTTTTTTTTTATTTTTTTTACAAACTTTCTCAGATTGGGCATGTGATTGCTTTTAGTTCTTCTTTAATTTAGATCCTGGACAGCATAAGCAGCACTCTCTTTATGAATAGAGAGAAGTGGAAATAACATAGAAAGGCAGGGAGATGCCATGATATATCCCCACCTCACTGTTAGTGTAGTGCTCATCGAGTTTTCCTTTGGCCTCAAAATCCCTGGTGTTTTTGGAGCCTAGCAACGCCCCTGAAGACAAAGTGAAGGTGCTGAATAGGAGCATGTTTTGCCAACAACATCCTCTTTTAATCTGATTGTAAATTCAAATGTTAATGATATTATACATGACCTTTCTATAACACACTTTTTATGATTTTACATCATTGCTACGTAATTCTGAACATTATAAGCATTCCAGGTGGTTTGCAAACATCATAACTACTAATTATGTTTAAATATTTTCTATTGGCACGTAAGCACTTTTCAAAAAAGCTCTACACACACGCATACATGTTAGGTGCAATGTGTAGGTTATATTGCACTGATTGGGGTTTTTGTTTTTTAAAAAAATCTTCAGATTTTTTTTCTTTTAATAATAATAATAATATTATTACACGTTATATAATTTTGCTGCATAAGCTCCCCTTATAAGTTACTTATTCCACTCTACAAATTCCTTTTTTGCTTCATAAATAAAGCTGTATTTTGTGTCAACACTTGGGTTTCTGGGACTTTAAGAAAAAAGCTAATTGAATTAATTGAACTAATTAATTGAATTAATTAATTGAATTAATTGAAGCTAATTGAACTAAAAACTCCTAGAAATCCATGCTTTGTCCATAAAGTACAGAAGAGCAAGAATTTATGTGATAAATTTAAACAAGCATTGTATCATGGTTGGTTGAGCCAATTCCTGGTCTGGGCAGTGTTCACTGTAAAAACTGAAAAGCCTGAGAATTTGCAGCAACCCTATGAAATATGTCTCTATGGGTTTTGTAGATAGATGATAAATCGATCGATACATACATTGATAGATACATACATACATACATACATAGATACATACATATAGATCGATAGATACATACATAGAGATATTTAATATACATCTACACTAGTCTCAATCTATCCTCATCACTTTTCCATTAAAATGGACCTGTGTCACCTTCAAAAATCCCCATAACATTCACTGAGCTCACAAAAGAAGTTATTACTTGTGTTAATGTGTTTCCAAAATAGTAAATTGCTGACATCCCAGTCTACAAAATCTTTTTAACCTTCCCATGCCATCACCAATTAATGTAGACATTACATAAAATATAAGATTATTAACATTCTGCTTCATTTATAAACATCATAACTTCTGTACACGTTTCAGTGTTTTCTATTCAAACATACTTTTTATTGAAATCATGTAAGGTTTTCAAAATTGATGAACAATTTCAATTTGTCTTCAGGCTTCAACGGGAGCACAAAAGGATTTTTTGGATTACCTCATGAACAATAATGAAGCACAGGCAGCCAGGATTACACTAGTAGTAACGCAAACAAAAAATGCCACACACAGGTTGCCAGTACACACATATTGTCAAACATACACCAAAATAGGAAGCACATTAATTCCTAGAACAGGTGGTGTTACCAATAATTAAAACATTGTTGTTTTTATTAAAATATTAAACATCAAGAAAAGAAATGTATCAACATAGCATAAACATAACAATAGTTAAACGAACATCTAGAAAACGTGGTCTGTATGGATATAAAGTACTTTTTTGTATCCAGCATTAAAAGTCAGCTTGTACAAACAGCAGAGCTCCTGAGATCCAACGGCATTCGATGACGATGGGGGTTTCCATTAATGGGGGATTAATAAAGAGGGCAAAATTGTTTCTATACTCTCCCCTGAAGATGGCCTCCGCAAGCTGAGATCATGGGGTCTAGAAAACCTGCTGGACGAACAAACAGCCACCCAACATAAAAGACTGCAATTGAACTGGCATAAAACCACTAACAAACGCTGAATGATGTAAGCTGCTCCCCGTCTACAAAGACTCCTAGTACCGCAAGTATCTCTTGTGTCAATTTGATGGATATGTTATCCACTTAATGTTCCTTTATGTGCACTGCTTGTGTAAATGTTACTATGCCACTGTATACGATAAGCCAAACCTCACTAGGGGGCTGTGTCCGACCCTCCTTATGCTAAAATTCCTGGGGCAAGCATAGAATTACCCAAACCAACCGCGCATCCCTACGGGTGGCTTGCCCGAGAAGAACGGGTTAACCAGCCACCTCCCATCACCCCATAATTATGAGCCGGGACGCCCGCCATCCTACCTGGGATGAACTGGGACACGCTGCAATCTAACCGGCTCCCAATAACTACGCGGTCGGAAACGGTAGCAAAGCATATAGTAGAAAGAGGAGTGAGAAGGAGACCCAATGACCCCCCCCACCCCAAAAAAAGGTATATTTATATATGAGAGTACAAACATCTAAAAAGACATGATTATGTATATGGGTTGCCCTAGCCCCGGTTGCAAAGCACACCACCCCAAGAGGCGTGACACTAATCCATTACCAGAGGATACGCATACCATAAAGCACCCCATACGACAACATAAAAAGACCAAAACTAACTTTAGGTGGACAACTGACAACGCTGTTCCTGATACAAAATAAAAAGCAAAATAAAGGTATTCAGGACAACACAAACACAATGAGGGTCCCTAGGCCCACCCTCACAGTCCCCGATGCTGATATTTCACTCACATAATGTGAGGGGAATGAACACCCCTCACAAACGCAGGATTTTACTCAGAGATGCAAAACATGTTCAAGCTGACATCTTATGCATTCAAGAGACGCACTTCGTAAAAAACAGAATTCCCACTTTCGGTACTAAAGACTATACCATACAATACCATGCAGCTCACACCTCAAAAGCGAGAGGAGTATCAATTTTAGTTCACAAATCTCAGGCATTTGAGCTACTCAAACTACATACAGACAGCCAGGACAGATATATCATAATGGCCTGCAAGATAAATGACCCTATATACACAATAGCAAACCTATATATCCCTAATGTTAATCAGAGGAACTTCCTAGATAAAGTATTAATGAAACCAGATTCCTCCCCGACCGAGCAGCTAATCATCTGTGGAGATCTTAACCACATCTTTGATCTAGAAAGCGACACCTCAGCAAACCCACAACAACCTAGACGGAAAGCATTGCTAACACAATGCACAGCCAATGACGAAGCTGATATCTGAATTTAGCTTATACGACTCATGGCGAACGCTACACCCGGAGGAACGAGTCTACTCCCACTACTCTTCAGTTCACAAAACCTACTCCAGAATCGACCATATATTGATATCAGCCCCAACCCTTCTCAAAACCCAGCAATGCAAGACAGGAGATATACTGTGCTCAGACCACGCCCCAATAACTCTGACACTGACGGATACATTCCAAACCAGGGGTCGCACCTCATGGAAGCTTAATGAATCATTGCTCGCTGATGAGCAATTTAAACGAGAAATAGACAGGGAGCTACAGGAGTACTTCACAGCAAACAACACCCCGGACAGCACAGCCCTAACACAATGGCTAGCCCACAAACCAGTGATCAGGGGAATCTTCATCAGCCGAGCCGCATACATCAAATGCACAGCCCAAACCAAACTTTTGACACTATTAAAGGACCACTCTAGGCATCCAGACCACTTCAGCTTAATGAAGTGGTCTGGGTGCCTGGTCCAGCTAGGGTTAACCCATTTTTTCATAAACATAGCAGTTTCAGAGAATGGGTTAAGCCTTCCCCCTAATCCTCTAGTGGCTGTCTCGTTGACAGCCACTAGAGGCGCTTGCGTGCCTCTCACTGTGATTTTCACAATGAGAGCACGCCAGTGTCCATAGGAAAGCATTATGAATGCTTTCCTATGTGACCGGCTGAATGCGCGCGCAGCTCTTGCCGCGCGTGCGCATTCAGCCGACGGGGAGGAGAAGAGGAGGATCGGAGGAGGAGAGCTCTCTGCCCAGCGCTGGAAAGAGGTAAGTTTTAACCCCTTTCCCTCTTCCAGAGCCTGGTGGGAGGGGGACCCTGAGGGTGGGGGCACCCTCAGGGCACTATAGTGCCAGGAAAAAGAGTATGTTTTCCTGGCACTATAGTGGTCCTTTAAGACAATTGCGAGACACCACCACAACACACTTTATTTCACCTTCACCGGCCTTGCAAGCTTCCATCGACCAGACGGATTAACAAATGGCACCTAAACAAGACCACATACATGATGCAAAAACTTAGGACAAGGGAATATGCCCAAGGTAATAAAGCAGGGAACCTACTCGCATCACGACTCAGACAACAACAGCAAGCATCGAAAATCCCCTTTCTAATACAGTCAGATGGCACAAAAATATACAATCCCCAATACATAGCAGACGAATTAGCTAAATACTACTCGGGACTTTATAATCTAAAACACGATGACACCATTCACCAACCAACAAACACAGACATAAGCGACTTTTTGACCTGGGTCCAACTCCCAACCCTCACCCCAGAACAACAACAAACACTACAAAATCCCATTACAGTAGATGAAATTATCTACACCATTAATGCACAACCTACTGGGCAATCACCTGGGCCAGATGGACTCCCCAATCAATACTATAAGGCCTACTATAACACACTGGGCCCTCCCTTACTCAGAGCCTACCAAGATATGATACAGACATAATCTACCCCACAAGAGATGTTGATGGCACACATAACAGTTCTACCAAAACCCCCACTAAGGGACAAAACCTCAGACCTATATCATTATAAAACATAGACATAAAATTATTCGCAAAAAACTTTGCCAACCGGCAGATATAATCCCAACCATAGTACATGATGACCAAGTGGGATTTGTGAGGGGACGCCAGGGAGCAGATGGTACCCGGAAGGTGCTGGACTTAATGTACTGCCTGCGGGGGGGTGGAGGTGTTGGGCAGGTTTCGCTTCCCACCACAATTTCTAGCAGCAGTAACAACACTTTACAGCAACCCCTCCTCAAGGTAACTGCAGGCGGATTCATCTCTAGTCCACTAGCCATTTCCAACGGATCACATCAGGGTTGCCCACTGTCCCCACTATTGTATATCCTAGCGCTGGAACCCCTAACTACACTAATTCGCAACCATCCACACATACAGGGGATACAGGCAAAACAGAGGAATACAAACTCACACTATTTGCCGACGATATACTGCTTACATTAATCAACCCCGAAACCTCACTACAACAGTTCACAGCCATCCTAGAAGCCTATAGTAAATGCTCCTACTATAAACTGAATGTGACCAAAACGCAAGCCATGAGTCTCAACCTCACCAGTGCAGAAAACACAGACCTGAAGTCCAAATTCCAATACGATTGGAGGACTGATCATCTTACCTTCCTAGGTATAAAATTCATGTCCTTAATAATTCAACTTTTTAAAGCAAATTATGTGGCACTACAGAACCAGGTGAAAACACTTCTTCAGGGATGGCATAAAAAATTAATCTCCTGGACCTGCCGAGTGGCCGCGGCAAAAATGGTGATTCTCCCAAAATACCAATACTTACTTATTTAGAACCCTCCCCATAGGGGTACAATCCTCCTACTTCACAGAAACCCAAACACTGCTGAACCAATTAATTTGGGCCCATAAGAAACCCAGAGTAGCCATTACCACGATGTACAGACATCATACGAAGGGGGGCATGGGCTTACCCAACATACAACAGTACTACCGGGCAGCTAACATAAACCCCATTATCATAGCACAAACTCAAGAGAAACACCCACAGTGGGTAGCACTAGAACTGGACATGACTTCCTATCACTCATGTGGACCCCTCCACTCCTTAAACCTAAAGGTATAAAGATGTTACCTACCACAGCCCTAACAAAGCATATCTGGGAGGTCCACAGAGCCACCCTATGCAGAACGAAAGCGTATTCTCCGGCAATGACGATCTCCACATTACAGCTGCTAATCCCACACAACTCCCGATTATGGGAAAGACACCACATTAGATACATCACACAACTAATACAGGGAAGGACAATCATACCCTTCCAACAGCTCCAAGAGGTTTATAACTTCCCGAACACAGCTGAATTCTCATATTTCCAAGTAAGGGCATGGCTCCTCAAACACTATGAACCAACCATGAAACATGTAAATGAGCAGCGGCTGACGGCCTTCGAACGGTTGACAACACAGATGCCAGCTAAGAAAACGATTTCGCTACTATACACATGTCTAACTAACGATGCGAGTATCAAAACACAGCCATTCATTCGAGCCTGGGAGTGCGAGCTTAACCTCAACCTCCCTGACAAAACATAGGAACGGTTATTTGCCACCCACAAAAAGAGTACCCCCTGCTCATCCCACAAAGAACTCTCGAAAAATCTTCTATACCGATGGTACTTAGTCCCAAGGCTATTACATAACATCTACCCAATGGTAGATGCCTAAACGACTTGGGAGACATGCTCCACATTTGGTGGGAATGCCCAAAATTAAAAAAATACTGGCAAGAGGTAGCCAAACTAGTGTCCTCGGTAACAGGTCTCACCTTGCCGCAAAAGCCCTGACACTTTTTTATTACACAACTACCCCCCAAAAACAGCGAAAACAATGGAATACCTCACTTATCAAATAAATATAGCGGCACTAACACTAATTAGCAGAAGTTGGCGCAACACTGAACCCCCAACAATACAAGAATGCATCCACCTAGTGGAACAAAATAAAACACTTGAATGTGCAGCAAGATTGGCAGCTAACCAATTGTCCACGGTATGGAAAATAGCCTGGGAAAAATAGGCCGAGGCAAAGAAAAGCCAACACACCAACCATCAAGGACACAAACCCTGGGGAAGTGCCAACAGCTGCTTTATTGTATATCATGTGCTCCTTTTATAATAGCGTAAAGAACGCTATTATAAAAGGAGCACATGATAGACAATAAAGCAGGCGGTGGACAATGTATGTGGGGAACCGGAGGGTACTGGGCATCTACAACCACAGACACTTAGCCATTACGGAGCCTCTGTTAGGCCACAACCTAAACAATAACATAAACAGGCCTAACCTCCTCGACCCCATTGCTGTGCCCACATACATACGGGTTGGGAATAGGGCCAAAGCACAGGAGCCCACACAAGCAGAAGATGCATCATGAATCACAATTAGTGTACAGAAAAACCCAGCATCTTAAGAGCGTTATGGTCTAGGGAACCTTTCTCCCCCCCACTCCTCCTCCCAACCTGAGCCAGTCCCCGCCCCCCTCCCCCAAGGTTTAGTTCGAAAAATTTACCACATGTAGTTGACAACTAAATTGTGCATACAGATTTGCGCCTTAAGCACCTAAGATGTATAAGACAAACGTTCTCAAATAGCTCAAATGTTTTTATCCACTGTAACTTAACCGTAAAATAAATGTTTGTAAACAAAAATTGCAAAATAAAAAAAAGGTCAACTTGTAGCTAGAAATTAAGAACACTAGCCAGTCTAAATGTACTTATGACAGTCTAGGTACTATGCCTACAAGGGCATGTAGATATCAGGGTCACTGTGTTAAATAGCTATCCAGAACAAAAAAAACTAAACTGTACCTAAGCTGGCAGGCAGATGAGTACAAAAATCTTTGTTTCTATATAGAAATAGATGCTTAAATTACAAACTATTCTTGAAAAGTGCCATCAAAATATTACAAATGTATAGCAGTGTCGTACACGGATCATAGTAAATGTGTTAGGAAATGCCACACATCCCCGACGCATGTTTTAAAGGTCAGGCGGCTCTTCAAGGAGGATATGGTTTGTCATTTAAGCAGCCAATTACACAAAAGCACTTTACATCCATATGGACCACTTTTTGTAGATGTTCTTTTAACAATTCTTATGTTCACAATGTTTTCATTTTTTATCGTTATATTTATTTTCTTGGTGATCAATATTTTAATATAAGCAATAAAAGCAATGTGTTCCAGTTATGGGAGATATTTATATCTCTCCAACCAGAACACATTGCATTACAAAACCCACATGAGACCCTAGTGAACAGCCAGGCCCCTTACTTCGGTATTGGCTGTATCTGTGCTGAAATGTTGTTCTAAGGATGGACAGAGCAAGCAGCAGCTCTTCACAACTAACTGAAAAGAGGGGAAAATAGCACAAAGGCTTCAGCCTCCTGCCCTAGGCCTGAACAAGCAAAGGCCAGGAAAAGGAATATTATTCACAAAATATGAACATAAGGGCTTCAGCCCTTAAACCCTACCAAACTGCCTATATGTCTGATGGTGCTAAAACTACAAAAACTACTCTAGAAATCAGACAATGGCAAAATACAAATAAAGAGTGGTACCGCAAATGTTAAATCACATTTTCCATAATATTCATACAGCCTAACATTCCATTATTGGAATGTAAACCACAGATTTCACATATGTCAAATCAGTCCATAGAAATGGCCAGCACTTCTCCCCTAGCCATGTCTACATCCCTGCCCCTACATTTATAGTGTGATTATGTACATGTATGATATAAATAAATAGCATACGTGTATGTCATGTGTAAGTGTAAATTAGAATAACATTTCTGAGTGCAAATTCTTTATATAGTGCAATAGAATTAGTGCAATTGAAACCTTGTAAAAAGTGCAATAAAGTTAGTGCATATATGCAGACCTTTTAAACTGCAATACAAGTTTTAAAGTCCTTTTTTTGTGCAACATTGCAATGCATGCAAAAAATATATATCTGTGCAACAATCATCAGTTGTTAGCACAACCACAATTCATATTCCATCTCCAAGTAAAATATGGTGTGCAAAAAGAACATTCTATATATAAACAAACAAATCTTGAGTAACTTCTCAATATCACCTAAAAGCATTAAAGAAAAATGAAAAAAGAGTGCAAATTGTTTTTGGAGCAAAAAGGCAACTTTTTCCTGATAAAATAACTAACAAAAATTGTGACCAGGTGCTCTGGACTGAGCTCACTTTTGTTGTTTCACCAAGGTAAATTGGTCTTTTCTGCAGCAAAAAAATATATTTTCTATACATTTTCTGTGCTTTTAGGCGATATTGAGAATTCACTCAAGATGTAGGAGTATAAACATAAAAACGTATCTTTATCCCCCCCGACAGTATACAAACGTGACAAGTCAAGTTTGAATAGATACAGCCCACCCACACATCCACCCCTCCTCATCATCAAGGAGGCTTAATTGCCACCTCCCACCCTGGAGGCGACCACTCCACCTTCACCGCTACAGCTGGAGACATTGCGCAATAAGGGTGAGGTACATAAGGGTCGGCAGGGCCATTCACTCGCACCTCTGACTTTATCCACGACTGGGATCGACGAAATCAGAACAACTATAACCCCCAGAAAGATAGAGGTCCCCCCGTTCCTCCAACCCCCCCTCCCCTTTACCCCCCTCCCTTAACAAAGGAAGTTAGCAGGTGACTGGGATCTTCACACCTACTCACTAAAACATCGGAAAACACACACTAGCATCGAGGGGAGATGGTAGGACAGGAGACAGGATGATACACGAGGGCACTTATAGACCCCGGACACAGTTCAAGGGCAAGACCCAGATAGAGAATGTGATTTACTCAAAGAGTGAATGTACCCTTGTATAACTTTATGCCAGTAGGTTTTCTGTCTGTGTAACCCTAGCTACAATCAATGTTAACTGTTGACAGCTCACAGCATCTCGAAAAAAAAGGGGGAAAAAGGTGCTGTTTATCGTTTGCTACACCACCACGGTTTGAAATGTCTAAATATTGACCAATGCGGCATTTGTATTCTGTTTGTACAAATGTCTTTTTTGCACAATAAAAAAAAACAAAACCTTATTTTTGCACATATTTTACTCAGTGATGGTAAATGTTACTTACTTGGTAGATGGTGATCGGTAACTGGTATGCGAGTATCTGAAGGTTGGTATTTGAAAGAGGTAGGAAATATGTGACAGCTGATGAGTATAGTATTTTGTGGTGGATATGTGAGGTTGTTATGTGACATGAGTAGGTGTCTAGTGGTGGATATGTGACACAAGGTATCTGGTGGTTAGTGTGTGTAAGTATTGAATGGTTAAGAGTCAAGGGCAACTATCTGGAGTATGGTATCTGAAAGGTGTTGACTGGTGGTGATACCGGAGAAACTGACGGAAGCAAAGCACAGAGGGATGGACACAGGTTTCTTCAGGAAGGAAGAGATTCTTTATTGGATCACCGATCGGGACTCAGAGGGACTAATGTCACCAAAAATACAGCAAGTTCTGAGCCCTGAACAATAGTGCAGGCTCCCTATATAGGCACATAACTCCTCCCATATTAAGCTCCACCCGCACATTCTCTTGACCAATCATTACAAATAAGAATTAACTTCCTGCTTGACCGCATGGCTTGTCCAGCACAATGGAGGAGGGGAATACTACATCCTGTATTCTTGCACATGCTCCGTACACTACTGATCGTATCTTGCCTCGTGCAACCAACTGATCGATACGTCAGCATATGCACGTACACATGCCACGTGGTAATCTCGGCCTACTAAATTTATTTTTACCGAGATTCCACCACATTCCCCCCTTTGATGCCTCTTGATATTTTACAATTACTTGAGGCATCACTTAACCTTGGTTTGCATACACCACAAGTTACCTTTGAACCAGACCAGACTTATCCTACGATGTGAATCTTCAACACTCGTCTTCCTGCATTGGTTCTCCCTGATCTAGAGCCTTATATTTATATATTGCCATTATCTGTGCAGCAGCCTTCCTCTCTGCTATATTTTCTATCAGGCTTTGCACAGACCTAACTACTAAGGGTATAAGACACGGCAGGAGTAGACACAACATTAAAATCAGTAGGACTCCACCTACCACTGCCTTAAGCCCTCCAAACCACTCATACCAGCTACCAAACCAACTACTTGGATTGTACCCTTTCCATACCTGAGTAGGCACATGCGCTAGTTTAACCATATGGCTAGTAAGCTCAGCTATTGCTTGCCCTTCGTCATCTATTTGAAGACAGCAATTGCTCAGGTTAAACTTCCCACATACACCTCCCTCTACTGCCAAAAGATAATCCAAGGCTAATCTATTTTGGTAAACTGCTGTCCTCATCCTGGTATTATGCTTCGCTAGAAGATTGAGCGCTTGTGATGTCTCGTTAGTAATGATCTCAACCACCGCCTGTAACCTTATAATGCGGTTGAGCATATAAATAGGGGTTCTATAACCAAAGGTACCATCCTCTGCCCACGTGGCTGGCCCATAATAATCTATAATACGCTGGGGAGGCCATTCATTATCTTCCCAGGCACCTATCTCTATGGGTCCCCTTTTCTTCCTATGATTCACATCATACACTTTAACACCTAAAGTCTCACCTGTTTCAATAGGCAACAAGAAGAAGGATGGTTTTAACATACCCAACACACATGCCCCTTCCCAGTCCTGTGGTAACTCCGAATAGGCCTTCTTACCACAGATCCAGTACAAATTCGCTGGGGCTCTCCAGTTAGATGTGATGGATAGATCAAACCATACGTCCTTTAAATTGGCATATCTTGCAAACGGGTTAGATGGTTCTGAGACATTTGAAGCCGACCACCAAGTTGTATTCTTTGTATCATCATCATAAGCTTTTTGCCCTAGACAAGTTAATTCTCCTACAGAAGTATTATACATCATTCCTTTCCTCGCTATGCAAACATAACCTATGATGGAGGTCTTCAATCTCCACTCAGATTTACCTCTAACACTCATATGATAGTCGGCTTGTGTAGATATTAATTGGTCAACTGCCTCAGAACCGGACATTACCTCCTTTGCTTCCCAAGGCCATTGGTCTCCCATGTTAGTACCTCCACACACATAGCAGTTGGTAACATTAAGACTACCGGCAATACTCTCGGCTAAATCAATGAACAAGTTTTTAGCATTATGGGGGATCTTATTATCTATGCTCATCTCTTCATAAAAGGAATGGTATACTTGATGAGTTTGGGAGGTTACCGTATCAGTCTCTATCCCTATAAACAATATTGTCCCAGGGTCTAAACCCGTCCCATATATTTGAAACCCAAATAAATTACCATATTTATCTAAGAACTTGTCAGGGTTATTTATAAGTATATGGATTGGATTGCATTCCATAGACTTACAATATGGATTAGTAGGCAACTTAGTCACAATCATGTCCTTGTCTGCTGTCTGTCCCCAAGTCGCCCACCCCACACAAGACCAATATGGGCAGAAGTTATAATCTCTATTTGGGCATCTTGGACTTACATATTTATTTTTACTACTGGGACAAATATATTTATCGTTAGACCCATACGTCCTCTCCCATCTAAGATCCCCACATACATTCCACGGCTTTCTACCACTTGATATTGCTTTACACGCATCAAATAGCAGAGCACCTGAAGAATATACGGATTTTAATACCGTCTTATTAATTAGGGTCCCCTGAGAATCTCCATTTCTGAGAGTCAACCAAATTGTACGGGGTTGATACTCAGGACTGAAGCACTTAGGTTCTCCTACTCCTAAATGACACACACTATATTCTATATTTAAGTATCTACATCTTGATACATCTCCTTTACACTCATATTGCGAATGCCAAATTAGGGTCTGGGATATATGGTTACCTGTTCTTGTAGTCTTAATGCATACCTCACAGCTAGGAGTGTTGGTACCTCTACCTTCCTGAATATAAAAATACACATAAATAAACATTATTAAAAATACATCTTTCGTCGTCATCCTCAGTCTTCGTCCGTGTGAAGGCACCTCAGCTTCCAGGATGTAAGGACTGCAGGGAATGGAGTTCTGCTCGTCTTCACAGGGGTCCCCTCAAGACTTTCCCTGACTTATACACTCGTTGGTGAGTGGACAGGCTTTATTATGGCCTTCTCACTCACTTACCAAGTCTCTGAAACAATAAAATTTGTAATCTACAAGGTTCCTCGTCACTCCGACTGAGTCGTGCGTTTTAACCGGATCTTGCAGGGATTCTCTGGATTTGCTGTAACTTGCCAGGAATCGGCTGCTGCTGGTTTAACCCTGGAGTGATGTATCCACGGAGCCACTTCGGCTACTTTTATCGCTGTAGGGGTAGACAGAAGAACAACATAAGGACCTCTCCACTTGGGCCCTAACGGCACATTATTCCACTCTTTAATCCACACTTGGTCGCCTGGGTGGTAACTATGAATTGGGGGATAAATATTCACAGGTAATCTATCTTGTACCCATTTCTGTACCTCCTCCATAGTCTTACCCAACTCTACAACCTGCTGCCGGGTAATTCCTTCTCCCAACTGACTCAAATCCCCCCTTAAGTTACCAAGCACGGGAGGTGGTCGCCCGTACATGATTTCAAAAGGAGAGAGGCCCATCCTTCTGGTAGGTGTACTACGGATTCGCAATAGAGCTATGGGCAAGAGAACGTTCCACTTAAGTTGGGTTTCCTGACACATTTTAGCCAACTGATTCTTAATAGTTCTATTCATTCTCTCTACCTTACCAGAACTCTGGGGTCTATATGCCGTATGAAGCCTCCACTTTATACCAAGCATATGAGTCAATTGTTGTAGGCACTGATGAACAAAAGCTGGACCATTGTCCGATCCTATAGAGCAGGGTAGTCCATATCGGGGTATTATTTCTCGTAGCAGGAATCTCACGACTTCTCCTGCTTTCTCTGTACGAGTAGGACATGCTTCTACCCAGCCTGAATAGGTGCACACCACTACCAGCAGGTAGCGATGTCCACCCGATTTAGGCATCACTGTATAGTCAATTTGTAAATCGGACATGGGAAGTCCCCCCATAAACTGGACTCCTGGTGGCTTTACTGGTCCTTGTCTTGCATTATTTTTAGCACACGTTACACATCTACGTACAATGGCCTGAGTCAAGTTGGACAATCTTGGTATGTAGAAATGTTTTCTGAGAGATTCTTCTGTACTGTCTCTCCCAGAATGTGTCCCGTTATGATAGTTTTGGACAATTTCTACCGCTAGTGATGCTGGAATAACTATTCTTCCATCTTCTAACTGATACCATTTGTTCTCCAAATACTTTCCAGGTTCAGTCCTTAACCACTCCTCTTCTTGAGCTGTATAAATTGGAGTCCATTGAGACAGTGGAGTTGGTATAAGAGCAGCTATATGCCCCACATATTCCTGTCTTCCTGATTCAGCAGCACGCTTAGCTGCACTATCTGCCATCCGATTCCCTTTGGTTACATCACCATCTCCTCTCAGATGCGCCCGACAATGTATAATACCGACTTCTTTCGGCTCCCACACTGCTTCCAATAGTTGTAGGATCTCAGCTGCGTATTTGATTTCTTTGCCTTCTGAATTCAATAGTCCTCTTTCTTTATACAAAGCTCCGTGGGCATGAGTGGTTAAAAACGCATACTTGGAGTCCGTGTAGATGTTCACTCTTAAACCTTCAGCCAATTGTAACGCTCGTGTCAGTGCTATCAATTCTGCCTTTTGTGCTGATGTTCCTTTTGCCAGTGGCCGAGCTTCTATCACCTTGTCTATCGTTGTTACTGCATATCCTGCATAGCGGATCCCTTCTTTTACATAACTACTGCCGTCGGTGTAATATTGAACATCAGGGTTCTGGATGGGAAAATCACGAAGATCTGGTCTACTTGAAAATACTTCATCCATTACTTCCAAACAATCATGTTGACTTTCAGTAGGTTGTGGCAAAAGGGTAGCTGGATTTAAGGTATTTACAGTCTCTAAATGCACTCTTGGGTTTTCACACAACATTGCTTGATACTTGGTCATACGGCTGTTACTAAACCAATGATTTCCTTTGTAATCCAACAACGTCTGTACTGCATGTGGAACTCGTACATAAAGTTCTTGACCCAGAGTGAGTTTATCGGCTTCAGCTACTAGCAGGGCGGCTGCAGCTACAGCTCTTAGACAAGGTGGAAGTCCGCTGGCCACTGCATCCAGTTGCTTAGACATGTAGGCAACAGGTCTTTGCCATGATCCCAAGTACTGTGTCAATACTCCCACAGCCATTCTTCTTTGCTCATGTACATACAGGTAGAATGGCCGTGTGTGGTCAGGTAGACCTAATGCTGGGGCACTCATCAAAGCCCTCTTCACATCTTCGAATGCCGTTTGCTGTTCTTGAGTCCATAAGAAGGGGTCGTGCTCTGTACCTTTGATAGCTGCATACAGAGGTTTTGCCAGTATCGCGTAGCTGGGAATCCATATCCTACAGAAGCCTGCTGCCCCCAAGAATTCTCGCACTTGTCTTCTATTCCTGGGTATCGGTATTTGGCACACAGCTTCTTTTCTCTCTGGCCCCATAATTCTTTGACCTTCAGAGATATGGAATCCCAGATATTTGACAGTTGGCAAACACAACTGAGCCTTCCTTCTTGACACCTTGTATCCTGCCTTCCAGAGAATGTGTAGTAGATCGTGCGTTGCTTGCTGACATACTTCCTTTGTAACTGCTGCTATCAACAAGTCATCTACATATTGTAATAATACACACTCTCCTGGGATAGACTCGAAATCTAGTAGATCTTGACTTAGAGCTGAACCAAATAGGGTAGGTGAATTTTTAAACCCCTGGGGCAATCTTGTCCAGGTCATTTGGCGTTTCGAGCCCGTTACAGCATTTTCCCATTGGAAAGCGAAGATACATTGGCTTTCTGCGGCAATTCGGAGGCAAAAGAAGGCATCTTTGAGATCTAAGACTGTAAAGTAAGTAGCCCCGCCCGGAATTAAAGCAAGCAGGTTATATGGATTGGGCACGACTGGATGTATACTAACAACCGCATCATTGACTGCTCTCAAGTCCTGCACAGGTCGATAC